TCCGGAATAACCCAAGCACCGTGTGGGGGAAATTAATCTCTTTAGGAAAGTATAGCCTTTGACAGTGTATCAAGGTCGTAGTCTCAAGTAACATCGCAATTCTTATGTTCATGCATTGTTTGTATGGCTTGGAGTTAAGGAAAGTTAGATTATCTTTACATTAGTGTTTACTTAGAAATTTTCTGTAATTTCTTAGTTATTAATACTTGATTGAAATACATTGGTTTGTATTTGATATTTACAATTACTTTGTAATATTTTATTTTTTAGGTTTTGTTCCCACACAATTTTAAGTGTTTTTCTTGTTAGAAATCACCGTAAAATCAAACACAAAGTAAAGAATTATACCACAAAAATGATGCTCAATCCCTCTAAAATGGCCCAAGAACACTTTCTTCAACCAACTCCAAGTAGTGAAAAAATGGTCGATTTTGGGGTTTTTGGAGACAGAAAGTATGAAATTTGATGAAATTGTGGAGAAAATGGTGGATTTGGTGAAAAAACAAAGGAAAATGATGGATTATGTTGAAGATTTGAGGAATTATAAGAGTTAGGGTTTGAGAGAAGAGAGAAATAGAAAATTTGGGGAAAGATTGAAATGAAAAGAAATCGAGGAGGAGAAAGGGATTAAAAACCGAATTTACCCAGTTGCGCGCCTGTACACGCGAACTGCGCACCCGCGCACACAACAATGCGCCTAGTCCTCGCGCAAAACATTCTTCCTCTAGTTGAAATCTGGCCTTCTTCTTGTGTGCGTTCCTCTAACAGGACTTGTGCGCCCGCACACCTAGTCTGTGCGCCCGCGCAGTGCCCGCGCACAGTCCGCGCAGACAATCTGCCTCCAATTTCATTTTATGCAATTCCTGTGCGCGCCCTCTCATAGGGCTACACACCCGTGCACAGGAATTTCACCCTTTTATGACCTTTTGAGCTTTCTTTCCCTCACCTTCAAGCATATTCACCTCATCTCTTGTTGATGCACCACAAATTATCAAAAAATTTCAACCCAAGCGAACAATCCAGCACCTATCAAGAAAATCAACAAAAATAAGACAAAAGCATTGTATAAAAAGAAAAGAGAATAGAGGGTTAGAAAGACTTTGCTTCCCGTAAGCGCTTTTGGTTTACGTCGTTAGCTCGACGCTCCTTGAGTGAGTTCAAGGAGGATCGTACACATGATGCACATGAATGTGGAGGGAGGAAACCGGCTTGTTAATGGAATGTCCTTCTGTAACGCCCCGTATTTTCGAACCACTATTTTATGTGCATTTCAACCTATTAAACCTAATTTCTAGTTTGAAATGTTAATTTAATTATTAAAATCGTTATTTTGATTTAAGGGTCATCCCAAACTTTTGAAACCCTAATTATAATGTTTTGACGAAACGATTGAAAGTTATTATTTAAAAGGTTTTATATTTAAGTTTTAATCATTTCAATTATATTTGACTTGTCTGAGTTGAAATTAGCCTTAAAGAGTGATTCCTTAAACTTAAGCATCAATTCAATAAGTGTTACACTTAAATAGTATTTTTGATATTTAACCTATTAAAATTGATACGGGTCATCATGGGTGATTCCTTGACTAAAGTGCCAATTTAATAGGTATGAAATGATTTAGTTTTTAAGACGTTTTACGTTCAATGGTATCAATATCGATAAATAAAGTTGTATTTGGTGATTCCGTCAACTCGTTTATCAAATTGATATTATTCATAAACTATTATTTTATTTTATATTTATAAAACTCATTATAATGCCGTTTTATCATCTAGGTCATTATAGATGAATAATATTATTGGTTTCATTTTTCTTATCTCTTTTATGTCGCTTTTCTGTGAATAAGAACTTTATATATTTTTGTGTCGTGATTTAAATTATTGTTTTCATTATTATTATTGTAATTATTGTTTATATCATTATGGAGATATGAATAATATAATCTATATTATCGTTTTTAAACGCATTTTCAACTCGCTTTTCGTTGCTTTCCTTTCCTAGTCTAGTTTCGGGCCTACTAGAATTTGTTTATGGGTTGGGTTTTGCCTTAAAACTTTCATGACTAAATAGATTAAGATAGGATTGTTTATTAGCTTCCTTAATCCCATTCTTAAGCCTCAACTAATCATTCAATCAAGCCCAAAAGGGAAGCAAGGGGGGGATGTGGACTGATTTTCTAACCTAAGTTACCCCCTCATTCACTCCCTAATTACACCTAATTATGGCTGCCCAACCTCTCCTCTTCCCCTTCTCCTTTCACGTTCAATAGAGGCCAAATACTTGTCAGTTTTTCTTCACCAAATTATGCTGCAACTTACTCTCTTCTCTCTTCATCCTTTTTGTAAGTTTCAAAGGCAAATCAAGGGGGGAATCAAAGCCTGATATGCTGCTTAAATCTACTCCAATTCGTGCCCAAATTCCTCCTCTTTCGAAGTGTCAAAATTGAAGAACTTTGAGGGTTTTCAAGGGGCTGCTTGTGCGTGGGTTTAGGGGCTGAATTCGTGGCTTTTCTCACCTCTTGCTAGTCTATAATTTGGTCACGCTTCAAGAGGTAACTAGCCTTTCTTCCCTTAGATTAGAAATTCTAGGTTTTAGGGTTGAATTGATAGGTAGAAACATGGCTAGGATTAGGTTTATTTTCTGATTTTCGTTCACTTTGTAGCTGCTGTAGCTTGTGTAGTGTAGAGCTTGAATTGGTGATTTTAATCCATGTTTTTGTGTCCAAACTTGATTGATATCAAGGCCTTGATGTTATATGATCTTTGAATGATGTTTTTAATGAGTTTATACATGGTTTTAAGGCTCAAAATGCACCATAGGTACTGCTGAAATGTTACATACCTGTCATGAGTTTTGTTGTGGTTTTGAGGCATGTTTAACCTATTTTCTTGGGCTTATTCTTGCTGGTTAATGTGTAGTAGCATTGTAGGGATTGTTAGGTATAAGTTCCATGTGTTAAACCTTGATTTTGGGCATGTTTTGGACTTGTTCTCGAGCTTAGAAAACTGGAATCCGCGAATGAGTTACAGCAGGTTTGGGGTGTGAATTACGAGTCTTAAATCTGATTATATGGTTTGTTTTCATGCCTAAATTGAATTAGTATCATGTTAAGCTATCACCTAATTAATTTGGCATGATTCTAAGCAAGTTTGATTTGTTTTAATGGCCTAAAAGTAAGTATAGGAGCTGCTGCCATACATTGTGAAGGGTGTGTAATTAGAGAGTTTTTATGATATGTTTTGCCTAATTTCTAATCCTAAATGCATGGTTAACATGACCTATTATGTTTTTAGAGTGTGTACTCAAATGGGCTAAGCTTAGTTTCATGTTTAAGGTGGGTTTTGGGGGTGATTTGTGTGAATGGTGCTGCTGTAATTAAAATTGGGGCTGCTGTGTTTATGATTTTATTTAAGCATGTTAATTCTAGAATTTTAAGTCCGAAATGGTTTTATATGATGCCTATTGAGTATATGTATGTGCCCTAATTTTTATTTCACATTTGAAGCATGTTTGGTTGGGTTTTTGTGATGATTTTTGGACTTATATGTTGTTGCCCTGTTTTGGTTGTTTTATGAAATTGTAGTTTGGATTTTTGGTTTTATCAAATGAATTTATGGAATTTTTATTATAACTATTATATATTAGTTGAAATTATATTTTAAATAAGTGATGAGTATTTTGATGTGTGTTTGAATATGTGTGAGTTGTAATTATATTGTCGACGTCGTAATGCTTTAGAGAAGGATAGCACTGTCTTTGGCATTACTTCACGAAGAGTTGTGATTGCACTTAATTGTTGAATTTCGATAATTAATTATATTCCCGAACTCAGACGATACTTTTTCTAGTTTATTAAGTTGAAATGTGTTTTGAAATGGAATTTCAATTGAATTTAAGAAATATGATTTTCTTATGCAGTTTGAATTGAGTGTAAGACCATTTGGGCTTCTTTACAGATTTCCAAGTGAAATAAATTATATCAAGTATCTTAATGATTTTGAATTATGTGTGGGGCCATAGTCGGGTGTGAGGCCGAGTTGCTTCTTGATGGTTAATGAACATGCTAACTACCTTGATTGCGAGTCTTAGTAGCTCAACCTGGGTTAATTGTTGTCGTCCGAGGGTATGTAAGACCTTATAGGCATTAACCCATAACCGGGAGTTGGCCAATCTTAGACACGGTCTCTGCCAGATGATCGGGGGTTCGTCTTGACAAACCTTAGGAAGTGGATTGCGAGGTCACTAGCGTTCCCTCCATGCCAGTTCTACTGTTTTGAATAGTTTGAATTTGAAATATTGAAAATATGAAATTATTAAGTATTTTGAAGTTTATATAAATTATGATTGAAGTAAATTATTTTAATATCGGTTTCCCGTTTTAAGTTGATTATGAAATATTTCATTGTTTGTATGGTTGGTGGTTTTAAATGATTTCATTTGAGTTTTCAGGTCATTTGTGGTTGTGGTTTCTCTCTATTAATTTAAGTTTAAAATCTTCTATTTTTGATTTGAAGGAGAACTGCTAGTTACTCCCTGCTAATTGTGGAACGTTGTTGTAATTTGCAGGTTCTATTTGTTTATTTGATCTATGTGACGATGGGTTAGGAATTGGGAGTTTAGAAACCAACTTTTAGGCTTGTATGCATTGTTGTTAGCTTTTTGTTTAAGTGCTTTGAATTTAGTTTAGTTTGATTTCAGTTTGGCCGATAAGGGTTGTACTGCCCTTGGCTTTTGAATGTAATTGATTTACCTATGTTTAAGTTCATTTGTTATTGTCTTTTTCTTCATTTAGTTTTCATTTAGGTTAAAACAACTTAATTTCGATGTTTGAATGACTTAAATTTAACTTTTAGACCTAGGTAAAGCTTGACTTTGCCAATCGAAGTTAAGTAGCCTCCCGTTCAGGCGTAATTCTGCTAACGTTTCCAGTTATAAAAAAAATAGGGAGTTACACCTTCATAGTAAGGCTTGAGGCGGTGTCCATTCACTTTGAACGGGGATTAATTTTCATTGGAAATCTCAATATCACCATAGGGAAACACCTTAGTGTTGACGAATGGCCCACTCCATCTTGACCATAGCTTGCCCGAAAAAAGCTTTAAACGAGAGTTGTATAGGAGAATATTTTGCCCTTCTTCGAAGCCTTTATTGACGATTTGGGCATCTTGCCAAGCCTTGGTTCTTGCTTTGTACATGCTTGAACAATCATAAGCATTCATCCTTAACTCCTCCAACTCATGAAGCTCTAGAAGTCTTTTCTCACCTGCACTATGGAGATCAAAGGTAATTTGCTTGATTGCCCAATGCATTCTATGCTCCATTTCTACGGGCAAGTGGCAATTCTTTCCATATACAAGCTTATAGGCAGTAGTCCCTATTGGAGTCTTAAAGGCGGTCCTATAAGCCCACAATGAGTCAATGAGCTTGGTGGACCAATCCTTCCTTGTCCTAGCCACCATTTTCTCTAAAATGACCTTGAGCTCCCTATTGGTTATCTCCACTTGACCACTTGTTTGAGGGTGGTAAGCAAGCCCTCGCTTGTGAGATATACCATACTTATTGAGGAGCCTATTGAATGTGTGGTGCTTGAAATGTGACCCTCCGTCACTATGATAGCCTTAGGGACACCAAATCTCGGAAAAATCACTTTCTTAAGCAAGTTTACAACTACCTTGGAATCATTTGTAGGAGAAGCCACGACTTCCGCCCATTTGGAGACATAATCGGCGGCCACCAAGATATACTTGTTCCCATGAGAAGAGATGAAGGGACCCATGAAATCGATTGCCCAAACATCGAACACTTCAAGCTCAAGGATAGGGTTTTGAGGCATTTCTTCCTTTCTAGAGATGTTCCCCATCCTTTGGCACCTATCGCAAGTTTTAACAAAATGCCAAGCATCTATGAATAAAGAGGGCTAAAAGTGCATGCATTGTAAGACCTTAGAGGCGGTGTTTTGGGCACTCATGTGACCACCACAAGGAAAAGAGTGGCACATAGAGAGAACACTTTGAAACTCATCATTGGGAACACGTCTTCTTAAAAGACCATCAACCCCTCGTTTCAACAAAATGGGACCATCCCAAATATACCTCTTTGCCTTATGCTTGAGTCTTCAACGTTGTTAAGGAGTGAGATCTGGAGGAATGGCACTACAAGCCAAGTAATCCACAATATCGGCATACCAAGGCTCTGATTTCTCCTCAAGAGCATATCGAATGTCATCCATTAAGGCATCCTTAATTGGTAAGTCATCTTCATGTACTCTAGCAACTCCTAATCTTGAAAGATGGTCGGCCACCACATTTTCGGCTCTCCTTTTGTCTCTAAGTTCCAAATCAAAGTCTCAGAGTAATAGCACCCACCTCTACAACCTGGGCTTTACTTCCTTTTTGCTCAAGAGAAACTTTAGAGCCGAGTGATCCGTCTACACAATTGTCTTGGACCCAATGAGGTAAGACCGGAATTTCTCAAATAAATGTACAACCGCAAAAACTCCTTTTCGGTTGTAGTGTGATTCTTTTGTGCCTCATTGAGGATCTTTGAAAAATAGTGAATTACATGAAGCTTTCCATCTTTTCTTTGTCCCAAGACCTCACCAATTCCTTCATCACTTGCATCACACATTAGTTTGAAAGGTAAAGACCAATTGGGGCCTTGGATAATAGGAGCGGAGCACAACGCTTCTTTTAACCTACAAAAAGCATTCAAACAAACCTCATCAAAACAAACTCCTTCTCTTGTTACAATAAAGTAGTGAGGGATTTGGCAATTGAGGAGAAATCCTTGATAAACCGGTGATAAAAACCGGCATGACCAAGGAAACTTCTCACTTCCTTCACATTAGTAGGTGGGGGAAGCTTCTTAATGACATCAACTTTAGCCTTGTCCACCTCAATGCCTAAATGGGAGATTTTTTGCCCAAGAAAATCCCACTTGTCACCATAAAATGGAATTTCTCCCAATTAAGCACTAAGTTGGTTTCCTCACAATGTTTAAAGCAACGAGACAAATTAGAGAGGCAAGCCTCAAAGGTGACTCCTCTTACGGAAAAGTCATCCATGAAGACCTCCATCTCCTCCTCAATCATGTCACTAAATATTGACATCATACATCTTTGAAATGTAGCGGGGGCGTTACAAAGTCCAAAACACATCCTACGATACGCGAAGGTACCGTAGGGACAAGTGAATGTAGTCTTCTCTTGGTCCCTTGGGTCAATCGGGATTTGGAAAAATCCCGAATAACCGTCAAGGAAACAATGGAATGAGTGCTTTGTAAGCCTTTTCAACATTTGATCAATGAACGACAATGGAAAGTGATCTTTGCAAGTACTTGTATGAAGTTGGCGATAATCAATGCACATTCGCCAACCGGTAACAAGCCTAGTAGGAACCAATTGATCACGATTATTTTTCACCACCGTCATGCCATCCTTCTTAATCACAACTTGCATGGGAGATACCCAATCACTATCAGCGATTGGATAAATAATTCTCCCATCAAGAAGTTTAGAAACTTCCTTCCACACAACCTCTTGCATGAAGGATTGAGTTTCCTTTGCCTTTGCCTAACCGGTCTAGCATCTCCCTCTAGATGATTTTTATGCATGCGTAAGATGGACTTATACCCTTGAGGTCATCAATGGTATAACCCAAAGCCTTCTTGTGTTTCTTCAATACATTGATCAAGAGGAAGGTTTGCTCTTCCGTTAGATTAGAATTGATGATTACGGCGAAAGCATTATTGGAGTCAAGAAATGCATACCTCAAGCCCAAAGGTAGAGGTTTCAACTCCACCTTTGGTGCTTCCTTACCTTGTAGAACATCTTGCTTGTCATTTACATGATGGAGATCAAGTGGTGATGTGTTGCTTTCTTGAATTGATTCTTCAACCTTCTCATTGAGCATTACTTCATATGCTAGCACTTCCTCTTGTGGACTTATCTTAGGCACATTCAACAAGACATTCTCAAGAGTATCATTAGTAACATGAATATAGGAGCGAGAAAATTCATTAAGCATAGTATTAAGAAAATCAATTCTAAAGCATTCACCCCTTGAGGGTTATTGCATGACATTGCTCAGGTTAAATTTAATGGAGTCATTGTCAATTTTTAGGGTCATCTTGCCCTCTTTCACATGAATGATTGCTCTAGAGGTAGCTAGGAATGGTCTGCTCAAAATTATAGGAATCCTCTTATCCTCATCCATCTCTAGCACATAAAAGTCCACGGGAAACGTGAGCTTTCCTACCCTAAGGGGAATGTCCTCAACCTTACCCATGGGAAACTTAGTAGATTGGTCCGCTAGTTGAAGAGTAACATTTGTGGGGGAGAGGGTTCCTTCACTAAGCTTTTGGTAGACGGAATAGGGCATGAGGCTTACACTCTCTCCTAAATCACACAAAGCTTTATCAAACTCAACACCATTAATGGAACAAGGGATGGAGAAACTACTTGGATCTTTTAATTTGGTGGGAAGTTTGTTGGAAAGAATGGCACTACAATTGGCGGTCAGGTTCACGGTTTCATACTCCCTTCTCCAACTCAAAAGATCTTTCAAAAGTTTGGAGTAGTGGGGCATTTATTTCATAGCATCGACAAAAGAAAGGGAAACCTGCAAATTCTTAATGACATCCAAGAACTTCCCAAATTGAGCATCAAGCTTAGATCTCACAAATCTTGTGGGGTAGGGCAATTTCTCCTCTCTTGGTTGCTTGTTCAAGGGTAAAGGTGTTGTTTCTTTTGAGGAGTTTTTCTCTAGGGAATCATCAACCCTCTCATCCTTTTCCTCACATTCTCAACCTCTTTTTCTCCTCTCAAAGGCTTAATCACCAAGGGGGTTTCATCATCGCTACTCAATTCAACTTCCTCACGAGACTTCTTCTTAACTAAAGGGTCATTCCCAACCACTTTTCCACTCCTAGTTGTCACGACATACATGGGTTTAGGGTTGACTCCTTGACTAGGAAGGGAAGAAGAAGAAGTAGATGAATTAGAAGAACTAGATGCAAGTTGAGCAATTTGAGTTTCAAGCATTTTCATGTGAGCATTGGTTTGCTTTTGATCCTCTTCACGCATGTTCATTAAAGCATCTAGTTTAGCCATTATGGAATCATTTGGTGGAGCCTCAAGTTTAAGGGGTTGTTGAGGTGGGGGAAGTTGGGGTTGATGAAAACCAGGAGGCTTATTATTTTGGGCATAAGGAGAAGCATATTGAGCCCTATTGCCTCCGGTGACTTGATTAGAAACATTTCTTTGTTGATTGTTTCCCATGTTACTTTGATCACCAAAACTTTGATTTTGATGGTCATAGTATCGGGACTTGTGTTGTTGGTTTTGATTACCATTTGGTTAGGGTAGTCTCTTCCATTGGGATTGGAAGGGCCTCCCCCACCATGGTATTGGTTATCATAACCACCAACACTTTGGTTCCATCCATGGTTTCAATTTTGATTCCAATTCCCCATTTGATTGAGGTTTGGCCTTATATTCCCCATACGTGGGGCAAAATTCATAACATTACCATCTTCCACATTATCATCATGTTCTTGGGGAGGGGGTTGAATTTCACAAGAGTACGTACATTGAGATGTATCATGATCATAAGTACCACAATTAACACAAAATAAGCATCCTTGGGGCATTGTATTGTAAGAAGAAGGGGGAGGAGTATTCATACCATTGCTTCCCTTGGTAGAAGGGGAGGAAGCATTTTGAGATTGTTCCTTCATGAGCTCTTCCATTTGCTTTGCCATCTTGGTCATTTGATTGGAAAGATTTGTGATGGCTAGCTTGCTCCAATGAATGGACCGTTCCCTTACTTGGGGTAGCTTCACACTCTCCTTTATACCAATCTTCATAATTGCAAACCACGTCCTTTATAATGCATTCCACCACTTCTTCTCTTTTGTTCATTATAGGACCACCTGCACTGGCATCCAAACTTGTCTTGCTTTGAGGAGAAAGACCACCATAAAAGGTTTGAAACACTTGGTAGTTAGGAATACCATGATGGGGGCATTGTCTTTGAAGTTCTTTGTACCTTTCCCAACCTTCACACAAAGATTCTCTACCTCTTTGACGGAACCCTTGAATTTTTGAACGAGCCTCGGCGGTCTTCTTGTGATTATAGAACCGTCCTAAGAAAGCAGTGGTGACTTCATTCCATGTTGTGAGAAAACCGGGAGGGACATCCTTCTTGAGCCAATGATCAACCACACCCGTGAGAGAAAAGGGAAACATCTTAAGGCGGATGTACTCTTGCGAAACACCATTTGCCTTGATAGTATCACAATACTTGAGAAATTCCTCGAGATGCTCATGTGGATTCTCAAACTTTCCACCCGAAAATTGCCTCTTCTCAATCATAGTAATGAAAGTAGGCTTGATTTCGAAATTGTTTGCTTGAGTGGTGGGGGCTTGAATCCTACATTAAGGTGTGTAAGCTTCGAGAGTCCCTAATTGCTTTAGGACTCTATGATCTCCCATGTTGTGAGGTTGCACACTTTCGAAATCGAATGAGGAGAAAAGGTTGATCTCCGAACTTGAGGAAGAACTAGGACTACTTCCTTCTTCACTTGAGGATGGTGAAGGTGGGGTAGTATGAGAGTTCTTACTCCTTGCTCTTGCCTCTTTCCTTAGCAAAGTCAAAGAATGCTCTAACTCAGAATCAATGGGCACCAAAGATCTTGAGCGAGTTCGTCCCTTACTCATACAACAAAGCTAAGAAGAAGGTAAGCACATATAAGAAAAAATAAAAAGCAAAAGAAACAATGAACTACTCTAAAAAAGATAGCAAACACGTAATAGAAATTGTTCTCCGTCAACGGCACCAATTTGATATTGGGAAAAATAGGTCGCTACTACATATCCCCAAATCAAGTAAAATTTATAACCTACTAACCAAACACAAGTATATATGGCAAGCAAATGGTCGATCCGCAAGGAATGGTCAAACACTACAGTCACTATCACAATTTAAGCTAGTTCGAAGAGATGAAAATTGATTAAGTAAGCACTAGAAGCAACGAAAGTACGAGGTAAAATCTATATAACAAACACTAAGGGGAATGGGTAGATGTAAGATCCACTTAAACAAACATAGACATAGAATTGAATTGATTGCAAACTAAGCATGCTTGAATATCGAAATAAGGTCCAATCTAACCACCTATCAGGGCCAAAAGGTTTCCCCTAACATAGCCTCAATGCTATCGCATTAGAACCATATATTAAAAGGTGCAATCAAGCATAGATCGATAACAATGAATCTAGCAATGTCCGCTATTGCATCATCAAGCATCAATTCACCCTCAATTTACAAACAACGTGCACTTTGCAAGCAAATTGAAGTATATCAAGCACATAAAGACTTTAATCACAATAAAATCAAGTTCAAAATCTAGAACATGATCAAGCTTTAACTACATCATCCCCACATCCTTTGCTAAGAATACTACTCACTAATCATTGCAATCAACAAGTTAATCATCAAATCAACAAGCAAAAGCATGATTATCAAGTAATTAACAAAACAAAAGCAAAATCAATTAACAAAAGTAAAGAGAAAAGAGTAAGAGAATGCTCATGATTGAAGATGAATGTCTACAACCAAGATGATCTTCCTCTTCAAGATCTAAGTATCAATAATGGAGGAAATCTCACTTTCTCTCGCTACCAACTAAGCTAAGAGTGTTTCTCTCTCTAGATTAAGCTAATAAACCTCAAAATTAAGCTAATCTAATTCAAATTACTTTAAAAAGAAAGTACAAGCTATTTATAGGAAGGTTTAAAAAGAAGAAGTCGACCAGACGCGTGCCCTCCCCAACTGCTGTGTGCCTACAACAATCCAGATTTAAAAACTAAAACCCAGCGATGCGCAACCTGTAAGTGCGCCCTCTCAGGTAGTTGTGCGCCCACGACTTTCTGGGTACGGAAAATGAACCCAGAAAAGCGCGCCCGCACAACATTCTTGCGCGCTCGCGCAGTTGATGTGTGCACCTTCTCCGTAGCCGCGCAGGTCCCCGCACAAACTCTCTACCGTGCCTCTTATTTGTTCTTCATTCCCTGTACACAAGGTTGTGCGCCCGCGTGTCGTGGGTGCGCGCCTTCTCCTAGGTCCGCAGCCAATGCGCAAACTTCCTGCCATGTGCCTTTTTCTCCCTTCACTGTGTGCGCCCTCTAAGCTAGTGTAGAACATAAGGGCCGTAAAACCTAAACTCACTTGTTTATGGTAAGATGGATGTCGCTCTCTAAGCTAGTCAGTTGAAGCTTTAGGAGTGACTTTTGCTATTCCACTACCGTCATGATTGTGAGGTCATTCTACTTGTTCAAGCCATCTACATTACTTGCTTGGCTGGCGTAGGATTCTTGGCATTTCTATTTTATATTGAGAATTTGGCTTGCATCTACCCAAGATCGCGACTGGGCTACTTAGGGAATGACAAAGGAATCTTTTTGAGGTCTCTTATTTTCTTTTCTAGGATAGTTTACCATTTTTGGATTTTGGTTTTATAGGCGTCATTCGAAGCGTGCCTACCTAAGCATGTTATGAATATGCTTGGCAGTCATAGGAAGTGGGCATTAACCTTATAAGATTAGAGACAAGGAAAGTAGGGAGCCACCAACAAGATTTTTAAGGAACTTGTAAGCCATCATTTAAGGAAACCACGATTACGGGACAATGAAAGGCAACAACGATTGACCCATGAAGGTTACACCCCATTCATAATCCATGAGATTACTAACACTATATGGTTCGGAACCACAAAAGGAGGATCGAGGATGATGGTACGAAGTGAGTCATGGAATCACATTCGCCAGCATTGGCCTCTACTTGATTCTTATAGCGAAAAGTATTCCTGAAATCCTAAAGGCATACAAACAAAGACTCAATTTGCTCCAAACTATTATTAAGCTAAATTGGTTGAATGTTAATGCAACATATAATTCTAAAATATTGTGATCACTTCAGTTAAATAACAAGATTAAAAAGGATCCTAAACCGGAAAACGAGCCGAGCAAAGAGGACGTCTTGCAAGATCAGGCGCCCATAATCGAGCTCGATCAGCCGGTAGTTGAGAGTGAAGCCCCTCCAAATGTTTAAAGCTTTAAATCTTCAAACTTTTCCCCGGCCTGTGTGCCGTGTATTTGTGAATTTTCTTTACCCGACCATGGGGTCGGGGTTATGAATATTTTGCCGGTCTTCATGGCCGGCTGTTTCATTATGAAGCTAGCGACCACTTTTTGGTCGTCTTTGATCACTGATTCTTGTTTATGTTTATCTGCTTGATATCTTCTTGAATGTCAAACCGAATGTTTTAGCTTGTAATCTGTTTCTAGGAATGATCAAAATTTTGAATTTAGAAAACTTTGCGAGTTCAAAATTTTTGCGAGTAGGCGAGGTTTATCAGGTGCCAACTACTCACGGTGACGACTGCATACATGCCCCTGGGCGACTTGGTGTCTTTGTTCTAGATTGGCAACTAGTCGGCCATGAAACGAGTCGGACCCCCAACGCATTTTTTAGCAAATACATTAGGTCTCTTAATTTTTGCAAGTTTGAAGGGAACAGGCTGCTTG